ATAAGGACAAATTGAGGATACTTCGTGTGATTTTTTTTTTAAAGTATACCCTCTAATTGAATTTCTTTGACAGGGTGTATGCAATATATACAACGTCATATCCACTGCAGTAAAGGATACATGTATAGAATGTGTCTGTATTTTTTCGTTGAAAGATAAAACAAAGTATATTTAATGCAAAAATATATCAAGAAATTAGTTATATATAAAAGCTTTATATATAAGTCCCCATTTGTGTTATGATATATTGTCATTTAAAACTCTTGATACTACCCCCTATGTGATTTTCATATCAGTTTAAAATAATATAATTTAAGAAAATGGTGTCAGAAGTGCCGACTCTTCAGCAAACATTGCATTATAAGAAGGCATTTATTTCGTTAGCATAAATCCTACACCGTTATGTAGTGATGACAAGATACACGTTTGTGAAAGCCTTGTGACTGATAAATTTAAGTACATGCAATGATGTTTTCTGATGCTATATCAAACACGTTGGAACTGCAAACAAAGAAAATAACAAAAATATACGCCAGATATGTGTTATACGACTTCGTCCAGGGTGATATAATTATGCTTGTGGAGCAATACTTCTTAAACTAAATTTCAAGTGTTTAAAGAACTTTTTTGAACAGATGCTAAGCGAAATGGAAAGGATTAAAAATAAACATAGTGACAATATATCTTTGAGGTCACAATGTTGATAAAGTTGCCTCGTATTCATGAATATTTTGATTTTAGAATTAAGTAACATAATTTTTATTAAATTTCATTAAATCACAATAACGACAATGCACACTTGAACAAATAAATATTTTAATATACATGTATTAAAACAGGTATTCTCATCCTAAAATTATTGAAAATAGTGTAACATAGATTGACATGGATCGCAAACTTGAACGAAACATGAAGTCGTTTGACAACCTTTACAAAGGTACGTGTAAACATGTAAAAAAAAAATCAGCTTTATCTTAAAGGCCTTATTAATCCCCAATTTGGTCTCCAAAATATAATAAGTTTCAATCGTCTTTTCAATCAGATAAAAATATTACAAAAAGAAATTTCTTAAACGTAACTTTTATTTTCCCCTATCTATTTCCCCATTAAACATACTTGTATGTATTTGCTATTAATTTATAGGGTTTTTGAATATATATATTAGTGAATGTTCGCAAGAGTTGATTCTACTAGTACACGAGCTTGTTGGACAATTTTATGTTATGGAAGCATTTGGAAAGTTAAGGAAACTTTATAATAGTGACATTAAGTAAAAAATTGTTTATGCATGCATTAAAAACAAGAACACAAAATACAAAGGCACATGCCTCACCGGATATTTTTCAAGCGTATTTATCCGCATTTTAAGTACTCTGTGAAGATGACTTCATAGGAAAACAGAGAGTTGTTAATAAATTTAAGCCACAATATTAATGACACAAATATATGTCAACAAAAGTAACGTAATTGGGTTTCTTACTAAATCCACAAACCTTTTCATGGAACTCTTTTCCCAATTCAATGATCTGTTTTGTTTACCAAGCAAACTGTCAAACGTAAATAAGAAAAAAAAATGCATAAATAGCTGCGAAGTCTCAAAAACTTTTAATTTGCACTTCTAGCAAATAAACTGACCCTTATCAAAGAGCATGGGTAGAGGAGCCTTGCTGGCGTATAATTTTTGTATTGTTGGATTTATTTTAACAGGAAATGTTATATCTGCCTACGGTAGGATGCATTCAATTTTTCAAAAAAAAAATTATTCAAATATTGCTCTCTCTCTCTCTTTCTCTCTCTTCTCTCTCTCTCTCTCTCTCTCTCTCTCTCTCTCTCTCTCTCTCTCTCTTGCATCCACTTACAAGAAAGATACATTATAGAAGTATAGCAAAATTAATTTACAATCAATTTACCATTTGCCATACATGTCCAATAACAAATTCCATGTCATTATTGTCGATATGGACAACACCATGACGATATCGTAAAGATCATGATATACACATTTATTTTTAAAATTGAGTTATAACACAATTATACATGGTCAAAAGCAAAGTCAGCAAAATTTCAGTATTGGCAGGAATATGTGAATAAAATGACAAACAAAAAGTCAGTGGTTGTTGATGCCTTACGGAAGATTTAGATGTTTTTTGTTAGGGTACGTTTCAAACTGTTTTCAAAACTCACGATTCGATATCGAAACGATATCGACGATATTAACAGTTAGTCCAACTAATAATAGGAAGTACACTCGCACAAATATTGCGTAAAGACCTACAGCCACAGAAGTAGTGGCGATATGATTATATATCGATCCGATTTCGACGATATTGATGGCAAGTACAATCGTCTCCCATGCAAACTACATGTTACAAGTATCTAAACATAAAAACACAAGTCATACATATTCGCATCTGAAAGGACGCTACTAAACAAAGGGGGTGAGCAAACATGATCCGATATCGAACCGACCTCCTCGATATCGCTGTTATCGACAGCAAAAGGAAAATTTTATTCCGTGTTAGTATTCAAGTAACTCATGTTCAAAAGCATACTATGAAGGGCTGTTATCTTAATTTATTGAGCAATTTTAATGTGATGTCGACTTTATATTGTGATATTGACAGTGCATGAGGAAAGTTTTGTAAAACAGAAAGTATTCTATTTTACCCCACCTCTGTCGATTTTTCCGTGAAATCCTGGCTTACGATTGGTTGAAGTCTGTCACGTGAAGGCGGTGGATTTCTTATACCCGGTCAGTTGTAAATCCATACCCGGTCAGTTGTAATCTATACCCGGTCGATGTATTACGTCACAAACACAGACGTGACGTCATAATAGGCACAGTATAAGCGTGATGAAGGATTTAGCAGAGAAAACCATTTATAAACTACAGATAAAACGTAAATGTTACATCGGTGGGGTAAATTCGTTACATAGTCTTTTAGTGACAGGGTATGGGATGATACCTGGTTAGTAAATTTCATACCTGACTCGGCTCCGCCTCGCCAGGTATGAAATTTACTAACCAGGTATCATCCCATACCCTGTCACTAAAAGACTATGTAACTAATAATACACTCCAGCATAAATATTTTTTCAGCAAACTATAAAAAAGTAATATATTGATATCGAACTACTTCATCAAATTAAATAAAAGTGAATTTAAAGATAAAAAAATGTTTAAAAATGACGTTATTGATAATTTTGGATATCAGATAAGTTAGATGCATGCTTTATAGTTTTCAAAAAGCATATTTTGATATCGTGCTACGATATAAATTGATGCATTTATCAGTAATTATCTCTTGACAAAATAATGGAATTGGCTAAGAACTGTATATTCGCCTATAACATGATTGTATTTTCTGATAATGTTTTGGAGGGAAAAGCCATTGACCTGCATGTAAGTTGGGATAACTTTCTGCTAGATTTGGTTGACAATTTCATGTAAATTTTTTGATGTTTTATCCTGGTTTCAATTCATTTTTGGGGGAATGAAGCTGATATTCAGTTTTAAATTATGAAGCAAATCAGGCATGCAAACAAAAGATAAAAATGAAATTTAAATATGTAAATATTGGTACCTTATGCTTAATCTTCAAAAAAATATGAATGACTGTATATAAAAAAATCCACACTTTGTTTTTTGAAAATCGTCGGAACGCAGCACAGTTACATGTAGGTTACAAAACAGGGGGCGGTGCCTGGTTTATACGGAAAATGTTTACTACATGTATGAAATCACACAAAAATACTAGATCTTTAGAATACCCATTAGATGGTTTAAGACTACATATAAGCTTATTATTACACGCAGCTTTGTCTTATGTAAAATCCCACAAAACAAAATATAAACGATGCATTGATTGCAATGAACTTGCCAATGTAACGTCATCTAGTAAAAGCCAGGGCAGTTTGTTTACAGTGAAAGGCTGATCAAGTAAAATTTTTGTATAATGAAAAATGTCTTCTATTATCAAATAAAATATTGTTTGCCGTTATTAAAAAGTTGTTGACTTGGATGCGATGTTTATTTTATTATTTTATCCAAATACTCTTTCGGTCTTTCTAGAAAAAATGATGCTGATATATATGTGTATGCAGATAAATTGACAACGTACTAGAAAGGTCCTAATAAATCGGTTAATTGCAAGGGTTTACACTTAACGTATCTGTCAAGCTTTTACAAATAAACTCAAGAGGCATTAAGATATTTTAGATAATGCTGCGAAGCTTATGAAATCTTACATACAAAAATAAATTACATCTATAGCTTTTGGCAGTTGACCAGCAAAATACTCACCCATCCGTCCATTAAATGTTATTATAGCAATTAATGTCCTGGTCATGGAAGTACACTAGGTTTTAATCTATATCGGTTGTCTTGGCAGAGTATCTTTATTTTGTTCCTCATAAATATACTTATACATGTATCTGCAATGTGCAGGTATCATTATTATTTTAAGGATATCCGATCCTTAGCCAGGAAGGATAACTCGAAAAATTAATATTTAATTTGCAATGCATGTAAAAAAGCTTGAGAATGAATTTCTTTCTTACAACAATTTTCATTTCATTCATCTTGATGAGATTTAAGGTTTTTGGAAGTCTGAGAAAAGGTCATATAAAAGTTGACATTTGTACCCTCTGAAAGGGGAAAAAATAGCGCAGTACGGTTTAGGCAACCCATGGAAAAATATGGTTATGAGGTCATAATGAGGTCTGACGTCATGACAGTTGCTCCGCCCTGATTGATCCTTATAAGGAAATAGAGCTCAAAATAACTATTTACCGATATTTGCAAGAATTTGTAACAAACGGCAATATTTCCATGTTTAAATAAATATTTATTAGTGATTTTCTCCTATATAGAATGGTATGTTTTTAAAAAAATTCTCTTTATTATGTGCCGTTTGGCTGCATTCGGCTACAGCCAAGCGCTTGCACTCGATGACAAGGAATGTTGTTTACATCTAAAAACGTGGCGACATCAGCTGAGATATGCAGTGAATTTAAATGCAATAATCAGCCATTCTTTAAAGAAAATAGGGATAAGATAAGAGACAAGGCATCGTTAATCCCTATTACGAGAATATGAGGACATAATTACAGAAAATAATGGAAGAGTGAGACGATCTGCACCAGCTTCCTAGATCCATCACTGCAATGCATTCAGCCCAGGTATGTATGCACATGTATGTACATTATGTAAATATGTTTTTGTTAACATCGAAGAAAAAACGATCGCGAGTGTGTACGTGTTTATTTAGATGTATTATCCCAGTTAGTGAAAAACTAATGCAGTGCAGTGTGTGTCGCCCCCCCCCTCCCAACAGCCCACATAAGTTGATCACTTAGTTTTACTAGAAATTTGAAAATGTGATTGTACTAAATATAGAGTCGATAAGCTTATTTTCTTTGAGACAACTTTTGTAATAAGGGGGTTCAACAGTAATACAAACTTAGACTAAATTAAATTTGAAATTTCATTGCTTCAGTCAATGTGTTGATAATGATTTACAGAACTTGTAATGTTGTTGTCTTTTTCGCATACAAACATGCTACATAATGTAAAAAATATCATTTGTATCATTATGATGAAAACAAAGAACCTCCACTTTAGATATATGGTTTTAAATTTTTAGAATTTCTAAATTAATGGGGAATAAAATATTTATTTTTTTTTAGTTTGATTTCATGTCAATTTCTAAGTCAATTAATTTCTGTGATTTATACATAATAATTTTTTTTTAAAATCATATGACATATAATTCTTTTATTATTGTAGCAGTCAAGAGATCCAGGCTTGAAGTATAAATGAATACAAAATGCATCCATTTCTCCACAGGGTATGTACGCTTATAAAGCATTTCACATTTTTTTAACCATGCATGTGTGCATGATTAGGCCTATATTTATTTTTCATTTGGTAAAGATGAAAGAATGTTTTTTTCATATTCTAATCATTTGTTCTTGTTAATGTCAGAGGTTTTAATTTCCCAGAAAAGTTTTGTAATACAAATTTGTTTCCATTTAACTTTTATATGAATTTCATAAATTCACTACAGTATACAATATATATCATGAATTGTTATGTCAAATGTAAAGTGATTTTATTTTACAATGTATTTTATTTAGTAATCTCATAGCAATAGCATATATATTGTGTTGAAGCTATTCCTAAAGAATTGGACCAATGGAATCATTCATGATCAGGCAGCAAGTTAATCCATCATGTAAGGAAAATGGTATGCTCCATATTAGCTATAAACCAAATTACCATGCAATATTCCTGGCAAACAATAAAATATAAAAGAAGAATTGCAAATATTTAATTATGCATCCAATGCATGTTTCTATGCATTGATCGGAATTTAATTCAATTCTAAACACAAATTTATTCTCAATAATGGTATGTTACTACATGTATGTCCTGATTTTCTCATACATGTATTTTCAGAATTGATTTTACATGTATCCACAAGAACATGAAGTGATGGAAAGAATTTGGCAGCTTCCCAGTATTCCTTGTACAGTCTATCTTAATTTTAAAAGCTGTTTATGAAATAAAATTCATTCATAAAAAATGATTTGACTTTTTCATATACATGTACTTACTGTACAGGTGTTGAAAAGGTCTTTAGATATGATAATCTTGACTTGCATATATTTGTGTGGTGCCAGGCTGTCAATGTCCATCAAGATTTTTTTCCAGCATGTACATTGTGTTAATTTGTTTTTAATAAAAATAGTAACTAAAAAGGAGATTAAAGGCTCCCCTAATTGATTCAAAACAAGAAAGGGGACCACCATTTTATTCTGAAGGGAAGAGGGGGGGGGGGTGGCAAATTTTCCCAAATCATTATTTTTTTATTTCTTTTCATGTCAATGAAGGACAGGTCTACTAATATTTATTTCCAATAAGATGAAGGACAGATTATTTATTTTCCTCTCTACTGAAAAATGTCTGACAAGCTAAAAAAAATTACAGGAGGGGGAACACTGGTCTGGGGCAGATTAAATTTTTTTTATTCTGTCTGGGACATATTTATTTGCAATATTTTTTAGATCCCCCCCCCCCCCCCTCTTTTGGAATAAAATGATAGTCCCTTTAACAAATACAGGAATTTGTATGTTTTCCACTAAGTCTTAGTTCTTAAAACGTTTGACTTAAATCCCATAGGAGTTGAAGGTTTGAAAGAAAGCCATGATATAATCTTGTATGCGAAAAAAAAATATTTGTACACAAGTGTATGTAAATTAGTGACAGAGGGGTATGGTTATCGAATTAATTATTTATGGATGCTATCAATTGACTATTATAATTAAATATTCCCATTTTTATTAACAATCGGCGTTTTAGATTACATGCTGCGGCAAACTTTACACCTACATTTAGCTGCATGTGTGTTTACACAGATTCGAGGAAATGCGGAAGGTCTGAAAGACGTCTTATAACATACGTAATTCACACATTGTATAGATAACGAAGTCACAAAATAGAAAATAATATCCAGTGTTTTATGCATACTGTTCCATTAAGTAAAAAGATCCCAGCGCATTCTGCAAGTATAGGCCTAGTTATTTAAAATCTACGAGGTAAACAAACTTTATCAAGTACTAAAGAGTTATCTCCCATGCGGGGTCAACGATGCGTTTGAAAACTATTTTTAGACTGACTATACCAAGATGTCAATTTTTAATCAAAATGTTCAAGGGCAAGGCAACAACCTAAAAAGTAGGTTTTTACTTTAAATTATTCATTTCACTGTATAGTTTTCAAAAAGTGATGCTCATTTCTTTGTAATCCTTTAGGTAATCTATAATTTTCGATGATATTAGGAAAATGCCCTATTTTTCATATACTACTGACTGTTTCAGGTGAATTACTTAAATGTTTCGGAAAACCAAATGAATGAGCATCACTTTTGCGAAAGTATAGATACATAGGGACAATTTAAAACACTGTGCAATTATTTGTTTGTTTGCCTTGCCCTTGAACTTTTTGGTTAAATCTAACATTTCATTTGTTGACCTAAAATCGGAGCCCACGTGACTTTAGAGGGTCACATGATCACAAAAATTCCTAGGTGAATAGCGATGGACATACTCTTCAAGATAACATAAAGCTTTTTTAACTAGAGTGTCTTGCTGAAAAATGAAATAGTTAAATATCAATTGTATCGTTTTCGGTGACTTTTTATAGAAAATGTTGCCTTAACTCTATTGAGAGTACAGTTTGAAAGAAAAAGATTTTCTTAAATCCAGCCCTAGATACCAATGCTTATTAGCATAATATTTAATATGAAGTGATTTGTGGTGTCTTGCAATGATAGCAAAAGCCCTTTACACTATGTATTATGAAAAAAAACGTGACGGAAACAGAAGACAACATTACAAAATAAGTATAAAAAAATCATGACAATTTCTCTGAATGCCTGGATACATATCATTTATAGCATAAAATATTTTCCTTGATTAATTTGCAATTAGAAATTTCAGCAAAAATATCGGAGATTTGAAAAAATTTTTTTATAATATGATTAATTTTAATAATCTTTAACTTAAAAGGAAAACTGTGAATATATTTGCATAACTTTGTTGGTTCAGAGATATTTTTCATTACTTAACTGCTAATTTATAAACCTGGGGATCGGATTACCTTAATGAAATAAAACTGTTCTGATGACGATTTGATTGTTTGCATCTTATTTACACCCTATTTAAGAACATTTCACTGATATAGAGACATCTCTATATACCGCTGTGGGGCTTTAGAATTAGTCCTTAATACGGCAATCAGAACCATTCAACAGTCAGATATATTTTTTAATTGAATGCTGAAGTAACACTCGACCATTCTTTCATTCTTTTATATTTGCATCTTTAAAAATATATTTTTGTTCAATTTACAAGACACCAATGAATAAGGAGCATTTTTCTTTCAACATTGAGTTTCAACTGGTTCAATAAAGAGTAGAAATGTGCATGTCAGGGGTGTGAAGTAATGTTTATAAGTTTTGAGATCCCGATATTCGTTTCAGTGAAATGCATTCACAGGTACAGTGTTTGAATACAAATAAATATATAAAGCAGCACAGTACTCTGATCAACTGTTGTTTTTCAACTGCTTTAATTAAATAGACCAAAGAAATATCATTACTAACTTTGCCTGTTATCACCAGGAAATAGGAACACTGCATTTTTTGGGCGCTTTTTGGGGCATAAATGAAATTGGAATCGGACAAAATGGCCTTGGTTCCAGTCTATGATATGCTCGTACCCCCCCCCCTCTCCCCGTTCACACAGAGCTGCGACTCTATGGCGATCATCCCAACCAAGCCGCGATCTGATTTTTATTTGGATCGGGGCAGATTGCAGCCGATCGGTGTCTAAAAAGAGCAATTTGGCAAATTTTGGTCTTCGTTACGACCGTACTACGATGTCCCTACTTTAAACTCGCTGCTAACATGCTTCTTCTACAATGTTACGCAGACCGTTGCCGACAAACAGCCGTGTTTAGTGCGTTTAAGTAACGCTGCCACTACGACATTGAAGACCATACTACGACTTTACACAGACCTAGATGACTGTACCGCGATGTCTCTACGATGGTGCTGATCATATTACGAATAATTACGCTTCTAGTACGAATTAGGTGATGATGTAAATATTTCTTGAACCTGCAGATTTTTGTAGTACAATTTTAGCAATGATACATATTTTGCGACAGCAGTTTTTTTTTCGGCCTTTACCACATGGTTTAGGGCATTTTCAATTATTTTACGTGTAACAAGATGTGAAAATGCTCAATTGTAAATGATCATCAAGTATAGTGTCACCAGTTACATGTGGTTAACAGATGATGATTGGTCAAATATCAGCGGTATAAGAACAACTCTTGTCTGATAGGTTATGATATGATCGGCGTAAGGTCATTGTAGGTCTTCGTAGGATCTCCAGGAACGTAGAGCGATCGTAGTGAGAACGTAGTACGAGTGTAGAGGGAGCGTTGTATGAGCGTGCTTGGTAAGTTCCTACGCTCTCGCGGCGCTTTTCTTACGATCATGAAGATCTCTCTTCCATGCTTCCGCGCTGTTTGTACGATTAAGGTGCTTCGTTGTAGAAGCGGCGTCTATGTGTGAACGGGGGGTAAGCAGATCAAATCTTAAGGCCGGTATACACGATAAGATTTGTGGTATAATACACGTATTATAATACTTTTGTATTAAAATACTTTCTCGCACTCACGCTAATACAAATCTGATAAGATTGTAATTAGAATACGTATACCAGCTTTTTTCCCGCGATATTTCTCTCTGTCAAGGTAATAAAAATAGAGGATGATGCTCTGATAGCAGTGTCTATCATCATACTACGTGCTGCTTGATATATTCCACAACTTCCCCCCCTTCCAATGAAGCCACGAGTTTTTCTATGTGTTTGCCTGTAAAGTCGACCAATATTATTTACCATATGCTTTTTTAGCTGTGATAGAATTAAGATGACCCCTAGTGTCATTACATTTCATTGATTGAAAGTGAAATGCTACATACTACTTATATAAGAAAAATGAGCATTGTTCAATTCTTATTAAACACTGTATTAAGAGTGTATTAAGAGTGTATACACAGAAAAAAACTTTGTATTAGAATACAAATTTTATGATGCAAATTGTACCGTGTATATACTGGCCTTTAATATCAGATAACACCTCTGTGCAGTAAAAAGTAAAGGCCTGTATACACGATTTGTGTTATAAGATTTGTATCATAAGATTTTTCTTGGGGGTCATTTTATTTTTACCATTACTAAAAAAAGCAATGGGTTAATTGGAAGGGGAAAAGGATTGTGGAATATATCAAGCAGTGCATAGTACGATGATAGACACTGCTATCAGAGCCTCATCCTCCATTTTTTTTTATTTCTTTGACAGAGAGATTGTATGGGGGGAGGTCATGTTGGAATAGTAGTTTATGTACAATCTTATAAGATATGTATGAGCGTGAGTACAGGAAAGTTTTATAGTACAAAAGTATTATAATACTTGCATTATACTACAAATCTCATCGTGTATACCGGTCTTAGGAGTGAAGATACAGCGTATTTAAACCGTCTGACATTCATTCTTTTTTTAAATCCATGAATCCATGAGGCATTTAAATAGCTTCAAATAACTTCAGTCAAATGTTTGAACTATTTAATAATAGTTCCTGGTTTAATGTAATGAATCGCATAACAAAATGAATGGTGTCACTGGAGGACTGCTCTGTTGTGTAGGTGGATTATTTGTGA